TTCAGGCAGGAAGACTGACGTGCACCAGGTCCTAGAGGTACGGGGGGCGGGGGGCGGCGCAGGACGCTCTGAGGCGGTGGTGATAAAATCCGTGCTCCCAGCAGCCTCTGGGAGGTGCGAGTCAGATACACCGCACACTCAGCCTCTCTGAGCCTCATTTCCCCAACGGGAGCCACGCAGCATGCTCTGCTGGGAGCCGCCAGCCGAGGGGGTGGGGGCCGGGATGGGCTGGGCGGCTCTCATCTCTCTCTCTCTCCCTTCGCTGCCTTCTCAGGATCTGTGTGAGGTAGGGTCTTGGGTCCTTCCGCTCCTCGTCTCTCACCCCCAGAGCAGCCCCTTCCCCGTGCTCCAGGCCCGGCTTTCCCAGGGAGGTGGCCTGGCGTTGCGGTGACAGGTGCGGGCATCTGACAGGCCTGGGGTTGAACCCTGACTTTGCTGCCTATGGACTGTGTGACCCTAGGCATGTCGCTCAGGCTCTCTGGTCTTAGCTTCCTCCTCTGAAAAGGAAGATAATCCTGGTGCCCCTTTGGGGATGGTTGTGCGGGTGCCTGACTGGTGGGAGCATCCGTACCCCAACTCACGACCTCTGACCCTGCCCCCAGCCTCATCGTCCTCATCGCCCTTAACGTCCTCCTCTTTTACCGCCTCTGGTCCCTGGAGAGGACGGCCCACACCTTCGAGACCTGGCACAGTCTGGCCCTGGCCAAGGGGTGAGTGGGGAGCCTGAGGGGTTTGGGGGCTTGGGCAGGTCTGAGGGGCCAAGGCCCTGCTCAGGCCCTGCATCCCCACAGCAAGTTCCCGCAGACGGCCACGGAGTGGGCGGAGATCCTGGCCCTGCAGAAGCAGTTCCACAGCGTGGAGGTGCACAAGTGGAGGCAGATCCTGCGTGCCTCCGTGGAGCTCCTGGACGAGGTGCGGCTTTGAGGCTCCGGGCGCCTGCGTTCAGATCCCCAGAGGCAGCAGGTGCATCTGGGCCTCAGTTTCCTCCTCTGTAAAATGAGGAGGCCATTCATAGTCCCCACCTCCCAGGGGTGCTGGAAAAATCAGCAGGATGGAAGAAAGAATGTTTTGGCTCTCATCCTGGGAAAAAAGTTCAGGGTGTCTGACTTCAGGCGTGCTGGGTCCAGCCACTCAACAGTAGTAAGAATCAGTCTCTCTATCTCTTGACTCTGCCCACCCCCAGGGTTGGCTTTGTTGTGGGCATCCTCTCCCCCAGGATGACCAAGGTAGCATTTGGAGCTCCAGGCTGGCATCCAAAGAAAGAGCCCACCCTCACTGGCTGCTGGGGTCACATGCCCATCCCTGACCAGTTGCAGCGGTCAGGGATAGGTGAAGCCTGCTCCCTGAACCCCTCCCCCACTTTGGGGTGACTAAGGGTCATATGAAGGTCGGAGAGGTTCTCCAAAGACTATTGGGGTCTCATCTCCAGAAGGGATTGCCCCAGATACCCCCCGTAGTTCAGGTGTAGCGTCTGTTCAGACAGCAGGTTCAAATTCTGGTGTGTGACCTTGTGCTGGTGACTTCACCCTTGCGGACCTTGGCTTCCTTCTCAGTAAATGGGGTAACAATGGATGTGACCTCAAGGATCTTTGTGGGATTAAATGCATTAACATTTGAATAGTGCCAAGCTCGTAGTAAACACTGTGTGTGTTTGCTGTGAGCTCAGTGCCCGGTACGCACCAGGTGCTCAATAAATGTGGTCAGGCAGCACAAAGGGCAGGCACTGGGGTAAGTGCCTAAGGTGGGGAGGGGGTGTGGGAAGCTGGGGAGCACTGGCCTTGGCTGGGTGCCCAAGTTGGTGGGTGACGGTGAGGGTCGCGTCTGGTCACCGTGGACCATCATGCCGAGGCGCAGCTTTAGGGGTCTCGTTGCTCCCTGAAATCACACTCGGAGGGAGATGCTCAGGCCGGGAAGGGCCGTGCAGGACAGGGTGGGAGAGGGGACTGAGGCTGGGGCCCCATCACTCAGAGAGAGGAAGGGCAAGGCCCCCCCATCCTGAGTTAAATTCTTACTGTTTTCCTCTCTCAAACTGCCGAGGGCACAGAGTGGACTTCACAAATTGATGCTAACAGCAGACACCGATTGAGCCAGGCTGTTCCAAGTGCTAAAATGACCAGCTGGTTTGCTCCCCCTGGCCAGCCTGTGAGGGGTGCTCTTGTTAGCCCCCATCTAATAGACGGGACGCTGAGCTCTGAGGCGTTCAGACTTGCCCAAGGCTGCACAGCCAGGCGAGTAAGGATAGCTGGCGTGCATTGAGCACTTCCCATGTGCTGGGTCCTGGTGTCCCCCTAGCAGATCCCCAAACTAACCCTCAGCTCAGGGACCTGCGACGGTTGAGGGGCTGGCCCGAGGTTACCTAGTAAGTAGGAGAGTGAGATTTGAGCTCAGGCCATCTGGGCCCCGTCCATCTGCTGCCTGTGAGAGTTAAACGGGGCGCAGTAGCGCCAGCTCTTGTTACAGGGTGACCTTGGGGGGGGACGTGACCTCCCTGGACCTTCTCCAGTCCCTCAACTATGGGATGGGGGCGACGTCACCCTCCCAGCCGTGACCTCCCCCCCGCCCGCCTCTCCGCAGATGAAATTCTCGCTGGAGAAGCTGCATCAAGGCATCACTGTCCCAGACCCTCCTTTCGACTCCCAGCCACAGCCTGACGACAGCTTCTCTTGAGGACGCCTGGCCAAGCGGCTGTCCCCCCAAACCGACAGATGGACACAGAGCCTCGGTGGCCACTGCTGGCACGGTGTGAGCACCCGGAGCCTGCCGCCCACCCCTCCCAGTGGCCTGACCAGGGGCCACACAGACTTGGGGACCACAGAAGATGCACTTTAGACCAGCGTGTGCGAGTCCAGCTGCCATCACCTGACCAGCCAGGGAGCTGGCCTTGCTGTTGGCAGGCACCCCGCTAACTTATTTTGCCCAGCTGAGGTTGTAGGGGGCACCTCCTGGGGTGCATAGTTCCCTCAGCTCTGGGTTTAATGTATTATATTTATTTGGGGCTGGCAGCCCCAATAAAGGGTTGGAAATGGCTGTGACTGTGGCTGTGCGTGTGGGGCCCTGGGAGCCGGTGGGAGCACTCAGATCCCACCGAGGCCGGGAGAGAGGGGCTGTCCATTTTCTGAGGCCACGGTCACTGGTGTGACCTGGAATTCTCCAGCATCTTACACAAGCGTCGCATTATCAAGGTCCAGGGCAGGGGCTCCGAGGACAGACTCTGGTGCCTGGTGGCATGGGTTCAAATCACCTCTGATACTTAGCAGGCATGTAACCTAGAGCTGGTCCACCTCTCTGAGCTTCAGTTTCCTCTTCTGTACAATGGGCATAATTGTCTCCCGAGGGTGTTAGAAGCCAGTCTTCTCACACTTCAGCTGCGTCACAGTCTCCTGGAGGGCTCGTTATAAAAGCAGAGGCCAGACCCCCCCCCACCCCGGGTGTCTGACTCAGCAGGCGTGGGGTGGGCTGGGATCCCTCACTTCCAGCGAGGGCCCCGGTGATGCTGACGCTGATGGTCCAGGGACCCCACTTTGAGAACTGCTTTATGAGGATTCAGGGAGTTAATAAATGTGGCTACTTAACAGGGCCTGGCACAGAGTAAGTATTCAATAAACGTTATTCTTGTCGCAGAAAAATGAAGGGGAAGAAAGTAACTCACGTAATGGGTGCCGAGTGCACCCCAGGCTCTGAGCCGAGGTCTGAGATTCATTTAATTCTGACAGTAGCTCCGTGAAATGGAGACAAGGAGTTACATGCCTGAGGCCACCCAGCAGGGAGGCCAGGATGACAGGCCTGGCCCCTGGCGTGTCCACATTTAATTGCAGGGTCCTGTCCCTTTCAGGACCCCAAAAGGGCCCATCCAGATTGAGGCCATTTGGACCCGTCTTACCTATGAGGAAATGGGCTTAGAGGCAAAGTCTCTGTCCAGGTAGAGAGAGTAGGAGACAGGTAGAAGCCAGATCTGTCTCCCTAACCCTGTGCTGGTCCCGGAGTGAGGGAGGGGTGAAGAGAGACCGTTGACATATCCCAGTCAGGCTGGAAGCATCTTCTTCACTGATGGCTTGGGGCAGAGGGCTGGCTGGCTGGATGCAGGATGGAGCATAACTGGCAAAGGGCAGAGCCAGCCTGTCCCGTCCTCTAGTTGTGTGGTTGTGGCAAGTTACCCACCCTGAGCTTTGGTTTCCCATTTCTGTAAAATGAGCATCATGGTAATGCCCTCCTTGTAGGAAGGATTAAATGGTTAACATCAGCAAAGTGCTTAGAACGGCACCAAGCCTGTGCCAGGTGCTCGGAGAACATCAGCGCGTAGGGCTGGCGGGAGGCGCCCCCACCCGGTGCCTAAGGCCTGTCTTCACCGTGGCTCCGCCTTCCACCCACTGCCAGAGGGAGGGTCAGAACAGCAAGAGGGCTATTTTCTGCAGAGGAATTTCACAGCCCAGGAGGTGCTGGCACAGAGGCCCAGACCACAAAGGTGTCCGGTGTCCCTGGCTTCTTGTCCCTCTGCCCCGGGCCTGCCCCACACCCTGCTTCCTCTGGCCCAGCAGGGCTCGGCCAGGGGCATTCTGGAACCTCACCCCACCCAGAACTGGTGGCCAAGACCTGAGCAGTGACCCACAGCCCAAAGTCTCCCTCCCACCCTGGTCCTGACCGTCCAGAGCCGCCACCCCCATCCTCGCCATTTGGCAGAAGAATCAACTGACAGGACAGGCCACTTGCAGTTGGGGGAGACAGGATTCCAGATCCACCTGAGGCCAGCTGTGTGACCCTAGGCCAGGGAGTGACTCAGCCTCAGTTTCCTCTTTTGTAATAAAAACTTGGGGCCAATGTTGGGAGGCAGCAGTGGATCCAGCGTTGACACTTATTTATGCATTTGACATGACAGCTTTCTCGAGCCCTCCAAGTGCCAGGCCCAGTTCATGGTGCTGGAGACACGGGGGTGCACAGGACAAAGGCCTCACCCTGGAGGAGCGTGTAGTCCAGGGCTGGGGACCCAGGCCATGATGGGGACTATGACGTCAGGTAGGGACACTGCTGTGGAAGAAAACCAGAAAGGGTAAAGGAGGTCGGGGGGGGGGGGGTGCAGTTTCCCTGGGCTGGACAGACGCCCTGACTAAGGTGACGTCGTCGGAGCCAAGAGCCACAGGAGGAGAGGGAGCCAGCCCCTGGGCACCTGGGGAGCAGCGGGCCAGGTGGAGGAAGGGGAGGGCCAAGGCCCTGAGGCAGGAGTGAGCTCCCAGGGCTGGGACAGCAGGGGCCTGGTGGACTGGGGGGGGGGGGCAGGTAGAAGATGATGTGGGAGACAGAGGAGAAGGGGGTCAAGCAGGCCCTGCTCCTGAAACGTGGCACCCCCAAACCCAGAGCAGCCTCTCTGGTTTGGATCCAGGCTGCCCCTCCTGCTTGGGTGGGGTCTGGAGTATCATCTGCAGCCCTAGCCTGACCCCCCCTTGCCCACTTGGAGTCCCGCATAGTGACCTCCAGGCTGGATGCCAGGGATCTGAGGGGCAGTTCACTTGGAGGTCCCAGCCAAGTCCCCTCCATCCCATGAGGATGACCTCCATAATTTGACAGCGGAAGCCCTGCCCCCAAACCGCCCTCTAGGCCCTCTTGTGCCTCTGGGGGTGACCTGTCCCAGACCCGATGCTGGAGGTTCCCAGAGTCTGGAGGGGTCGGACGCCCAGACCAGCCGCCCCGTGCCCAGAAGCCGCGGTCCCTGCGCCACAGAGAGAGGCCGGTGCAGCGGGCGCCTCCTGGGCCGCTGCGGCAAAGGCTGGGCGGCCGCGCCCTCCCCCCGCGGTGATTCATCCTGCCCCCTCCCTCTCCCCCCTCCCTCCCCAGGCCGCCGCCGCTGCAGTGCGCAGGAGACGG